GTGAAGAATCCAGCCTCCTTCTATAATGACTCACTCTCTTGTGAACTAATTTACGATAGGAGACCAGCATTACTTCCAAGAGTGGTGTCCTTAATAACTTAATTGTTCTTCCAGAGGTCCTGAGTTCAATTCCCAGCAACCACATGGTGGCTCAGAACCGTCTGTAATGAGATCTGGCGCCCTCTTCTGATCTGCAGGCATACACACAGGCCGAACACTGTACACATAATAAAATAAATCTTTAAAAAAAAAAGATAAAAAAAAAACATTTAGTGATTTTTTTTTTTAAATTCTACTTCAAAGAAAATCTCAAGGCCGGGCGGTGGTGGCACATGCCTTTAATCCCAGCACTCGGGAGGCAGAGCCAGGCGGATCTCTGTGAGTTCGAGGCCAGCCTGGTCTACAAAGCGAGTTCTAGGAAAGGCACAAAGCTACACAGAGAAACCCTGTCTCGAAAAACAAAAACAAAAACAAATCCCAGAGACTAAAGATTAAAGAACCAGGACCCTCAGGTCATAGGGCCTCCTGCTGACCTTAGGGCAGTGGTTGTCAACCTTCCTAATGCTGTGACCCTTTAACACAGTTCCTCATGTTGTAGTGACCCCAACCATAAAATTATTCTCATTGCTACTTCATGACTGAAGTTTTTCTACTGTTATGAATCATAATGTAAATTATGATATGCAGGATATCTGATATATGACCCCTATAAAAGGATTGTTTGGCCCCCAAGGGGGTTTTGACCCATAGGTTGAGAACTCCTGCCTTAGGGAAAGCCCTGACTCCCACTGACTCCATCCTAGACCATGCAGGCAACGTCAAACGGTTTTCTTTTCCTCCCTTAGAAAACTAACTTTGAGAGCTTCACACTCACATCGTGCTCCGAGGCTTTGGGTGGGAAGGGAATACTGTACGGTTTATTGGGTGAGTTCTTTCTACACCTTTCAAGCCTTGTATCTTTCATCTGTTTAAAAATCCACTTATATGGTAATATTAATAAACTATGGGTACAAAGCTGGGCGGTGGTGACATGTGCCTTTAATCCCAGCAGAGGTAGGTGATTTGAATCTGTGAGTTTGAGCCCAGTCTGGTCTACAGAGAGAGTTCTAGGATAGCCAGGGCTACACAGAGAAACCTTGTCTCAAAAAAACAAAAACAAAAACAAACAAACAAAAAGGAACACTGGGTTGATTTCTATTCACAAGTCAAGATCTATTCACAAGTCAAGAGAAATGACCATAGATATCAGGAACAATAATCTCCCTAGAACCATGATGAGAGCCATCACCATGAAATGGTGGAAGTGAAGGCTGCTGGAGGAGATCCACGAGAAGACAGGAAAGAACAGTTGGAAGACCAGAATAAGGGCACAACTGTCACGCTCCAATTTTAGGAATCTGACACCCTATTCTGTCTCCTTCGTGTTATGTGACAAAATTTTTCCTAGGGGGAGAAAAAGAGTGAACCAAAGAGTTTTATTTGCATTACTTACAAGAATATGGGTGAGCCGGACGGTGGTAGCACACACCTTTGATTCCAGTACTCGGGAGGCAGAGCCAGGCAGATCTCTGTGAGTTCGAGGCCAGCCTGGTCTACAGAGCGAGATCCAGGACAGGCACCAAAACTACACAGAGAAACCCTGTCTCGGAAACCAAAGCCCATCCCAGCATGGGTGACAGCTCACAAAGCTGGGAACACACAGCTGCAGGCAACTCATCAGGTTGGAGAATGTCCTTTCCAGGTGCCTCAGTTGATCTAAACCTCTTCCAGGCAGCTCAGCTGGCTTCTGCTTCTTCCAGGGGGTTGGTCTGGTCTCAGAGTCCTCCTCTGTGTAGTCTTTCTCCTTTGAGAGTCTTCTTTGCTTCTTCTTAGCAGCTCAGCCTCAAATTAGTCTGAGGGGGACTCTGAGTTTTTACTGTTTACTCTGGCAGGCAGGAGCCTAGTGAATCTGGTAGGTTTCAGGGACTTCCTGAAACTATTTTGGGTTGTTTACCTCCTGCTTATGGAGTTTCCCTGCATGATGGGTTGTTTCAGCCTTAAACAAGAGGGCCCAGGTTTGATTCCCATCCCCCACATGGCAGCTCATAGCCATTTGTAACTCCAGTCCTAGGGGATCCAATGCTCTCTTCTGAACTCTTCCGCATTAGGGCATACATGTGATGCATATACATACATGCAGGCAAAACACTCATACACATAAGAGAAAAGTATATATATACACATATATTTTGTTTTGTTTAAGATAGGGTTTCTCTGTGTAGCTGTCCTGGAACTCACTCTCTAGACCAGGCTGGCCTTGAACTCAGGGATCCATTTGCCTCTGCCTCCCAAGTGCTGGGATTAAAGACGTGTGCCACCACATCCAGTTTACAAATCTAAGAGATAAAAAAAAAGTTATATGCCTCCACTTGGGGGGGCTAAGGTGGGACTGTCTCAAATTCAAGTCCACCCTGAGCTATGAAGGGAGTGAAGAGACACTGGCAGACTAGAACATTGGCTCTGGCAGGCCTTGCCCTTCTCTCCCATTCCTCCTGCCTCGCTAAAACCCTTAGATTACATTCCTAAAGCTAGCCACCAAGGTCTATGCCCTTATTTGGCCACTTCACCCTCCAGAGGCTTGACTACCAAAGTCCATCAATCAGAAGCCCACTTTGGTTCACCTAATTAACATGCCCAATTAAAACTAAACACCTCAGCAGGGAGGCAGAGGTAGGCGGGTCTCTGTGAGTTTGAGGAAAGTTCCAGAAAAGGTGCAAAGCTGCACAGAGAAGCCCTGTCTTGAAAAACCAAAAAAAAAGGTGGTGGGGGTGGCGGTGGGGCGTGGGGGTGGGGTCCAGGAAGTCTGGGAATGTGGCTCGGTTGGCAAAGTGTCAGACTGGCATACATGCATGAGGCCTTGGGTTCAATCTCTGTGTTGAAGTTTCCTCCTAACTGAAATACTTCCTCCAGGAGGACGGAGAGGCTCAGTGAGGTTTAGGTTGACAAACACCACGTGTCTGAGTGTCTGAGAAAGCCGAAAGGTGCAAGGTTGTCTGTTGAAGGCCCTCCCCTAGCTTTATAGAAAAGAGTAAACAGCTGTGGGGAGGAGACGCTGGCCTGCAGAGCTGCAGAGAGAAAACCTTGGGCACACTGTGCAGAGGACTCGAGGATGCAGTGTTCTTGGGCAGTAAGCAGTTCTGGGGTTGTGAGCTTTTTGGTAAAGCGGCTGCTTTCAAGTTATCTCTGTGCCTGGAGCAACCCCTCACCCATGTCCTGTCAGTCCCCTCACCCATCGTCCTATCAGTGACTCCAAATTGGACTTTGGTTATGTCTTTTTTTTTTTCCGAGACAGGGTTTCTCTGTGTAGCTTTGTGCCTTTCCTGGAACTCGCTCTGTAGACCAGGCTGGCCTCAAACTCACGGAGATCCACCTGCCTCTGCCTCCCAAGTGCTGGGATTAAAAGCGTGCACCACCACACCCAGCGGTCATGTCTTACTCACAGTTACTATTGGTGGGGAGGAACGGGTTTGTTTGGCTTACACTTCCACATCACAGTTCATCATCAAAGGAAGTCAGGACAGGGACTCAAGCAGGCAGGAACCTGGAGGCAGGAGCTGATCCAGAGGCTATGAGGGGGTTCTGCTTACTGGCTTGCTTCCCATGACTTGCTCAGCCTGCTTTCTTATAGATCCTGGGACAGACCAGGGTTGTACCACCCACAATGGGGAGGGTGTAGGGCAGGCTCTCCAACATCAATCGCTAATTAAGAAAATGCTTTGCAAAGCATTCGTGTTTGCAGCCCAATCTTAAGGAGGCGTTTTCTCAGCTGAGGCTCCCTCCTCTCTGATGACTCTAGCTTATGTCACTGCCCGGTGTCTTCTGACTTCTAAATGTTTGCCGTGGCATACATGGCCCACCCTCCACAAAATAAATAAATAAATGTCAAAAAAAAAAAAAAAAAGAATAAAAGAGGAGAGAGAACTCACTCTGTAGACCAGACTGGCCTCGAACTAACAGAGGATCCAGCTGCCTCTGCCTCCCGAGTGCTGGGATTAAAGGTGTGTGCTACTATATCCAGCAAGACATAAATATTTTTTAGGTGCCTTTCCACCCCCCCATCCCCCCCACCCCCGCAAAATCAGGGTAGTGGAGTCAGTCATAAAATGCTATTACTATGCTGGACAGTGGTAACACATGTCTTTAATCCCAGCACTTGGGAGGCAGAGACAGGTAGAGCTCTGTGAGTTCAAGGCCAGCCTGGTCTAAAGAGTGAGTTCCAGGACAGCCAAGGCCACACAGAGAAACCCTGTCTCAAAAAACTAAAAAACACATAAATAAAATGCTATTGTTAAAAGTAATTGGGTACATAGAATTTGTTTTGGGAAGCAGTGTTCAAATTGCATTCTTGTTGAGTTTATAAAGTTCTCAAAGTTGTAACTGTTCTTTTCATATGTTTAATGTTTGTTTACATTTTTCTGCCTTTTCTGGGTATCATGCAACCCAGGCTGGCTTCGGATTCACATGCAGCCCCGAGTAAACTTGCACTTTTCTCACCCTCCTTCCTCTCCCTTCCAAGTGTGGAGGCAGCAGCACTAAGCTACATCCCCAGCCCTAAAAGGAAAGCTTTTGAGGAAGGGGGCTTAAATAAACTCAGATTACTAGCTCAGAGAGATGGAGGTAGAGAAAACGAATGGTTATGGCAGGAATCCAGGGAGACCGACAATGGAAGTATAAGGCAACTGCAGAGTGCAGTGGGTTTCGTTTGTTTTGCCGTGTAACTGAGAACTTACTGGAGGTCAGCACTCTGCCACGTGCCGGAGAATGAAAAGTGCGCTTGAAACAGACACCAAGTCAGGGAATCTCTCCTTCCTCAAGCCTGAGGCTCTCAGGCCGGGCTTCCTGGTGGCCCCGTGCGCTGGGAACTTAGGTGAGTGAGACAAGGCAAAAAGCTAACATTCATCCTCCGGTCAGCAGGGGGAGACAGGCCGTGCGCCTTGAAGCCTGCAGCTGCTCTCTTCCCCGCGTCGCTTGCGTGTTGGCGGCGCTACATACTGCGCATGCGCACGGCGCTCCGGTCTTTTTCCCCCAGCGCCGCCGGGCCCGCAGGTCTGTGTGGAGCCGCGGTCGCGGGTTGCTGTTCCGCAGGATGGTGAGTGGGCATCTGGGGCCCGGGGCCGCGCGCGCACGGGCCTGCCCCCGCGTCTCGCCGGTGCCCGCTCGGGGTCCGTCTGGTGCGGCCTCGGGGGCGGATGGCATTCGATCCTCGGCTGCGCGGCCGCCGCTCCCAGCGTGGCCTTAATGGCTGCCGGGGGGAGGGGCCGCGGCGGAGGGGCCCGGGACGCGGCTTGCTGGGGCGGGGGCCCGCGGAGCCCCGGCCGCCTCCGCGCCTGTCCGGACGGCCGCGGTGTGCAAGCCCGTCCCGGGCCGGGGACGGGGCCCTGGAACCAGGATTGTTAGTGGAGGTCGGAGGCCGGCATTCCTGCATCCCGGAAGGGAGCTCGCGTCGTTTGGGATTTGGCGACTCAACCTCTCCCTAGTTGGTGGCTGGGCCTCGTTCTCAGTGTTTTGTTGAAGTCGGACTTAGGAGGTGGAGTGGGGTCGTATCCTTTCCTAGTGTGCAGTTCTGTGTTAGTGGGGAGTGATACCTGAACGTACTCTGCGGTAGCACCCAAGCCCTCGGTTTACGTTTTCACAAAAGGAAGGGAGGAAGTGAGCATGGTGAGGTTAAATTCTCGAGGTGAGGTGCAGTTTTTGGCACAGATTGCTGTATAGGTGAATACTTCCCAGAAGGTTGGCACAGGGATCAGTTGGTACCAGTGCACGAGAAAGCAGGTACAGGGATTGGAAGATTGTTTAAAGACAACACGAAAGTGAGTTTTTACCTGTTAAGTATCAGTAGGAACCTGCAGTTGTGGAGGGCGGAGGCTTGGGCCAGGGCCATGCTCCTGCCAGCTATCTGTACATGTTTTCTGATGCTTAGCTGTGTGTGTGTGTGACGAGGAAAACCACTAGAACAGCAGTTATCAACCTGTGTGTTGGGGGTCACCTATCAGATATTTTATGTTACGATTCGTAACAGTAGCAGTTACGGAGTAGCAGCAATAATTTTGTGGTTGGGGTCACCGCAACGTATTAAAGGGTCACAGCATTAGGAAGGTTGAGAGCCACTGCTCTGGAGTGATTCTTGATTCCAGTCAGTTTAGAAACATGCTACAAGATGACAGTTGTATTAATTTGCTCTTGAATGTTATATTGTTACATGGTTAACTCAAATCAGAGATACAGACTAAAGCCTATTAACTTAGCACTCAGAAGCTGTCAACTTCTGGGTTGTCTTGGGTTATATAGTGACAACCTATTTTAAAAAAAATCATTGAATGAAACATTTATTAAAACTGATAACATTTTTGTTTTTCCTTTAAAGGGGTTTGTGAAAGTTGTCAAGAATAAGGCCTACTTTAAGAGATACCAAGTGAGATTTAGAAGGCGGCGAGGTATGAGCAGCTTTTCCTGTTTCAGTTTCTGAATCAACTTCATGGTGGAACATCCTTCTTAATTTTTTTTTTCTTGCAGAGGGTAAAACTGACTACTATGCTCGGAAACGATTGGTGATCCAAGACAAAAATAAGTACAACACACCCAAATACAGGATGATAGTTCGTGTAACCAACAGAGATATCATCTGCCAGGTGAGTTCTGGATTTGAGCATTGTGTGATCTGACTCCACAGCTCTTTTAGTCCTGTGCTAGAGAAGATTTTCTCGCAGTTAGTAGGTTTGAAGCTGAGACTTCAAAATTGCTATTTTGGTTTGGAAATCCTGACTCAGTTTTACTGAGTTTGTGAGAAAGGCTGGGGAAACCTGTTTGTGGCTTTTACTCTATGCCACTTTACTCATTAAAGAGACTCCAGTAATTGTTTCAAAGTGGGAAGACCCACTTTTCAAAACTTTATTTACTTACTCACTTTATTTAATGTGCATTGGTTTTGCCTGCATGAGGCTATCGGGTACCCTGGAACTGGAGTTACAGACATTGTCAACTGCCATGTGGATGCTGGGAATTGAACCCAGGTCCTCTGGAAGAGCAGCTTAACCACTGAACCGTCTGTCTGCCCAGCCCCCAAGGCTAGTAATTGTTAGGGTGATTGTTGGGTTTAGCTCAGTGGCAGAGCGCTCAAGTGCAAGGCCCTGGGTTCGGTTCTCAGCTTAAAAACAACAACAACAAAAAATGTACAAAAATGTCTTCCACTTTGGAAGCCAGTGGCAGTTCCTGTATTCAGAATTTTCACAACTTAGTCGATAGGTAGGTATCTGGAATTTGCTGGTTAGGAGATAGGTACATTTGCTCTCTGTGCAAATGTATCGACTCTGAAGGCAGGGTTATCTTCTGATAATTGAGCATGAATTAAGACTTGGTTGAATTTAGCTCAAAAGATATTTTTAAGTAATTGTTGTTGACTTGATTTTTGGGCTTAGGGGGTTTGAGACTGGATCTCACTCTAGACCAGGCTGGCCTGAGTTCAGAGATCCACCTGCCTCTGCCTCTCAGTGCTGGGTTTAAAGCGTGTGCCACCACTGCCTTGCTTTTTTACTTTTCATAATTTATTGTAGTTAGGTTCTAGTGTGCTGTGTGTTTTAGCTGTACTGTGTTGTTTTTTTTTTTTTTTTGCTAAGCTTCTGTGTAGTTGGCCAAGTGATAAGTTGTAGTTGTAGGTGTGTGAGGGGGACACCCACGCAGATGGGTGTTCATTGAGTTGTCTCTTCTCCCCACGTCTTGTTGAAAGGTACTTAGACAAGTACTGAAGCAACCAGTTGCTAACCTGGTTTTTCTCTCACTGTAGATTGCCTATGCCCGTATAGAAGGGGACATGATCGTGTGCGCAGCATATGCACACGAGCTGCCCAAGTACGGTGTGAAAGTCGGCCTGACAAATTATGCTGCGGCCTATTGCACTGGCCTGCTGCTGGCCCGCAGGGTATGTACACGGTATCATGGCTTCCGGAGAGTGCCAGCTGTTGTCTAGGAGTGGGGTTTTGTCTATCTTATTTTTTTTGTTTCTGGATCTGTCTAGACCAGCTCTGATAGAATTTTCTTCAGTGGTGGGAACTATGTGGTTTACTGTCCTTTGTTTAATTATTTGTGTGCATGTGTGGGGGGCACATGCCTGTCACACGCACTGGAGGTTAGGTCAACTGCATGAGTTGATTCTCCTCCACCCTGTGTGTTCCGGGGGTGGGCCTTTGATCAGTGGGCCTGGTGCATTAAAATGTAGGGTTGGGGGTACTCTACTTCAGATCCTTAGAATCTGTTTTGTTGGGATCTCTACCACAGGAAGTTTATATATTATATAGACATTAAAGTTTGAGAAAATAGCCTCACCACTTCAGGGGGTGGACATTAACAAGGTTTTTTTTTTTTTTTAAATGAGATTGACAGTATCTACTAGTAGGAAGTGAAAATACAAAGTTTGCCTTTTGTACTCTCGGAGCTCACTGTTTGGCATGTAGTTGGCAAGCATATGCATCGGTGTTGACCCCATCATCACGGGTTGCTAAAATATGCTTTTTAGGGGGAAGGTTGCTATGATAGATTAAGGCCTTGGCTTATGGTTTCACCATAGCCACATAGTGTACCAGCAGAGAAGTCCCCCAAATTAAGCCCAGAGTTGCAGACAGTATTCCTAAACTACATCTGATGACATTCAGTATTTAGATGTTGAAATTGTAGCCAAATAGGACTGAAGAAATACATAAATCACATGAATAAATATGATTGAATCATTACATTGTTGTGACATGAACACATTTAGTGGTTTGAATGTTTTGAGATAGGGTTTGATGTTGACTTCTCTGTTCATAGCTTCTCAATAGGTTTGGTATGGACAAGATCTATGAAGGCCAAGTGGAGGTGACTGGAGATGAATACAATGTGGAAAGCATTGATGGTCAGCCTGGTGCCTTCACTTGCTATTTGGATGCAGGTCTTGCCCGAACTACAACTGGCAATAAAGTTTTTGGGGCCCTGAAGGGAGCTGTGGATGGAGGCTTGTCTATTCCTCATAGGTAATAAATAGTATTCAGGGTTTCTGCCCTGACTCCAGTATTCCCTGTTCATTACTGTTGGACTGTGGCAGTCATTCAGTGTTTGCTCTATGTTAGATACTGTGCACAGGAACCTGAGAATGGGAAGAGCTTTTTAACTGTATTAGAAAAGAAGAGACAAGGTCTCACTGTCTATCCCAAGCTAGTCCAGAATTTGAGATGATAATCTTCTGCCTCTGCCTCCTGGGTGCTGGGATTAAAGGCATGTGCCACCACCACCTGGCCCTGTGCATTTTCTTTTTATGGTTAGAGTAAAAGTTTGATTTATTGAGTTACAGGGAAATGTGGCTTTTAGAATACACATTTAAGCCTAGCAGTGGTGGTGCACACCTTACTCCCAGCACTCCAGAGGCAGAGGAAGGCAGATCTCTGAGTTCAAGGCTAGCCTGGTCTACAGCTCAAGTTCCAGGACAACCAGAGTTGTGATATAGAGAAACCTTGTCTCAGAAAACCAAAAAAAAAAGAAAAAAAAAGTAGAACATACATTTAGAGACAAAAGCTTTCAGCCATTAGTAAGATTGCTGGACATTCTTGGAAATTAAGTAGATTAATGTGTAATTCCTCAACGTTAGTGAATATTCACTTATAAAATTCTTGAATAGCCTCATTGATTGTGACTTTAGACAAATCACTTAATTTCCTCTTATCCTAGGTACCACTGAAAAATAAAAAGATTTGAGGGTTGAGTTTTTTAAAAGTGATGATCTGGCTGTGTGACTATTTGGGGGAAAGAGGAGGGCTAGAGCACAGGAGTTTGAGACTGCCCTGGGCAATATAGTTAGACCCCCATGAAGATGAAAAGCAAAATTTTGTTTATGGAGTTTTTATTTTGGGGATTAAGAGACGAGCTGCCAGTGATGATATCCCACTAACTGAGCAGTTAGTAGTTGGTCCTTTGATTGCATATGATGCAATAATTGTTTCAAGACGGGACTGACGGCAGCTCCAGAAGTGAATTCCTGGGAGTATAGTAATTTGTCTGTACACTAAAATACAAAAATTTCATTTTAGTACCAAACGATTCCCTGGTTATGATTCTGAAAGCAAGGAGTTCAACGCAGAAGTACACCGTAAGCACATCATGGGTCAGAATGTCGCAGACTACATGCGCTACCTGATGGAGGAAGACGAAGATGCTTATAAGAAACAGTTCTCTCAGTACCTCAAGAACAACGTGACTCCAGACGTGGTAAAAATTTACCTGAGCATGCCTGTTCACTTAAATACTTGTTTGAGTGGGTTGTAATCTTAACGTAGGCTTATTTCAATTGCAGAATGGAAGGTTGCGTGTTGCTGTGTAGGTAGATAGGCTCCTGAGCTGCTTCTGCCTTAAGTGGAGTTAGCATGTTGGGTGGGAAAAGGATTTTTACGTGCTGATGTAAGTGGGCTTCCAGCACTTAAAGCCTTGGATGTAAACAAGTGTAGCAGGAAGGGTCAGATTTTCAAAGCAGTTGTGCAAACTCGATCACTAGCTCTGCATAATGTGGCAGCGGCTAAGGGAACCAGGTTTGCTAGAGCAATTGTGGTGATAGCAATGTACCAACCTCAGAAAGAAACTACTGAGGTGACCATTCTGTCCCAGTACAGTTCTGCTTTTTTTTCATTCTTAACTTTTTTTTTTTTTGTCGAGACAGGTTTCTCTGTGTAGCTTTACCTTTCCTGGGACTCACTTGGTAGCCCAGGCTGGCCTTGAACTCACAGAGATCTGCCTGGCTCTGCCTCCCAAGTGCTGGGATTAAAGGCGTGCGCCACCACCGCCTGACTTAACTTTTTTTTTTTTTTTTTTTGAGACTAGGTGTCACTGAACTTAAACAAACAGGGAATTGATATTCAACCAGGCCCTCTGAACTTAAGATAGGCCTGCTTCCACCTCCCAAACCCCTAGTATTGGAGTTAAAAGCATGAGCTACTTTTGGATGGAACGAAAAATACATTTTATAGTTTATTAAAATCCTAGGGAGCTGTAGGGGTCACGGGAAGGATTGTGTTTGCAAGAGTGAATTTGATATTAGAAAATTGGGATGGTGTATATTAAGACAGTGGAATAATTGAAAACCATATGCTGTGGGATGTTCTGTATGTCAAATGTGTTGCTGATTAGTCAATAATTAAAATACTGATTGGCCATTGGCTAGGCAGGAAGTGTAGGCGGGACAAGGAGGAGAATAAAGCTGGGAAGTGGAAGGCTGAGTCAGAGAGACACTGCCAGCCGCCACGATGAGAAACAGCATGTGAAGATGCCGGTAAGCCACGAGCCATGTGGCAAGGTATAGATTTATAAAAATGGATTAATTTAAGCTGAAAGGACAGTTAGCAAGAAGCCTGCCATGGCCATACAGTTTGTAACTAATACAAGTCTCTGTGTTTACTTGGTCTGGTCTGACGGCTGTGGGACTGGCAGGTGAGAGAGATTTGCCCTGACTGTGGGCCAGGCAGGAAAACTCTAGCAACAACCATAGTTTTAGAATTTTTAGTAAAAATACAGAGCACATCACATTGTTATTACAAAGCTATTATAACTGTACAGTATGGGTTGGAAAATCATTTTCTGTGGTCTGTGTGCTTTGGATATCATCTTAAGACTAAATTCATAGCTTGAGCTTTTAGGACAGGAAAAGCATGAACAGTGATGTTATTATACTTCAGTCTTCCTGGGTCTTGTACTGACCTACTTACATTATATTTGTTCACAACTTCAGATTCCTGGGCTTTGGGTGCCTGCATGACAGAAAGAGGACATTGGATCCCATTGTAGATGGTTGTGAGCCACTGTGTGGTTGTTGGGAATTGAATTCAGGACCTCTAGAAGAGCCTGAGCCCTTTCTCCAGCCCTGAGATGTGTATTTCTTAATGCCTTCTTGTGTTCATGCCACTTTGCTCTTTGGCTAATACTTTTTATTTTGTGGTGGGCAGAATTAAACCCAGAGTGTTTTGCAGGGCTGAGCAGCGTACATGCTCAACCACTGAGCTTGCATCCTGTAGTTCATTTTATCTGGAGCATTCTCTTCCTGTGTGCCTGTAGAATTCTCTACAGACTTGTTTTTTAATGTGAATGATTTTTTACCTAAATCAGTGTCAGCTATGTGTGAAACTGTATTTATTCTCTGTTGGGAAGAACCAGGTTATTAACTTTGACCATCTGCAGTTTTCAGACAGGCTTGCTAGCTGGGGTGGACTGTATAATGGAGGACTGAAGGGGGAATTTTTTTTCTAAGATGGAATCTCAGCATGTATAAGGAGTACTGGAATCACATGCTTGGGCCACCACATTCAGCCAAGAAATTTAACTGGTTTTTTTTTTGTTGTTGTTGGTGGTGGTGTTTTTTCTTTTTCTTATTTTTCTTGTGTGTGTGTATGTGTGGTGGTTTTTGTTTTTTAAGACAGTTTCTCAGGGTTGGGGATTTAGCTCCGTGGTAGAACGCTTGCTAGGCCCTGGGTTCGTCCTCAGCTCCGGAAAAACAAAAACAAAGACAGACAGGGTTTCTCTGTATAGCCCTGGTTGTCCTAGAACTCACTATGTAGACTAGGCTGGCCTCACACTCACAGGGATCCACCTGCCTCTGCCTTCGAAGTGCTGGGATTAAAGGCGTGTGCCACCATCACCTGGCAAGAAATTAACTTTTTTAGAGGGGATTTTGAGACCTGCCTTATAATCCCAACACTAGAGAGACTGAGGCAGGATTTGGAGTTTGAGTCAGTTTGCACTTCATAGGGGACTTTCTCAAAGGGGTGGGGAATGAATTGAAATCGTTGGTCTACAGTACAGTGGGCCTTCCTGCATTATTTCCTTTTTAAACCACTTTGTCCATATGGAATGAGTCAGTGTAGAAAGCTGGATCACAGTCACTCTAATAAACATGCTGGGGATCAAGCTCTTGAACACCTACCTACTTAAGGGGGCTACAGTTAATACTAGACATTCAGGGTTACATCCTTGAACTTCATTTTTTTAAACAAGTTTTAGAACCAAGTTTCTGCAACAAAACCTAATTGAATAGGTAATGTTTAGGGTTCTAGAGGCCGTACTCTGCCTCATAAAAATTGACAATGTTAGAGTATGTCTTTGGTGCTGGGAATTGCTTTAAAAGGTCTGTCATGTAAAAGTAGATTGTAAATCTAGGGTATATGAGATGATAAAATTAGTAATTTCCAAATTTGGTGGGGTCTCCCACCTCATGTCCTTGTCCTTAGACTCAGTTGTCTTGTGTCTTCCTTATCTCTGTATGTTTAGCATCTTATATCCTCTTGTTTGGGCATGTACCTTCTCTTGAAAGAATGTAGGTCAGGCAGTAGACTACAGAGTACACGGTGTATTTCTATAAAAACAAGTTTGTTGTAGACTCTAGGCATGGCTGCTTTCTCACATCAAAAGACATTGAGAATGCTGTAAGGAAAAGGTGGATTATACTTTGGGATTTAAGCAGGTACAATTGGCTTTATTAAGTTCCTTAGAGAACTTAGCAGGACACACTAGAGCAGGCAATAAAGTATTGTGCCTTAATAATAGGGCATCTGAAGTGAAGGCAAATACTGTTTGCTTTGCTTTGTTCCAGATGGAGGAGATGTATAAGAAAGCTCATGCTGCTATCCGAGAGAATCCAGTCTATGAGAAGAAGCCCAAGAGAGAAGTGAAGAAGAAGAGGTGTGTGTGCTACCATTGTCTAAGAAACAAGTTTCATCTTGCTGGTCAGATTTTCAAAGCAGTTGTGCAAACTCGATCACTAGCTCTGCATAATGTGGCAGCGGCTAAGGGAACCAGGTTTGCTAGAGCAATTGTGGTGATAGCAATGTACCAACCTCAGAAAGAAACTACTGAGGTGACCATTCTGTCCTAGAACAGTCATGTGCATGTTTTACTGGCTACCTATAGAAGTGTAGTTATGGATGCTTCTTCACAGCCCAAAGAACATTCATAACAGTTCTGCCTCCCAGTCTTGAATAGTGGGCTTGTAGATATGAACCATCATGCTCAGCTGAGACTGGCTTTTGCGTTTTAGATGGAATGAGCAATGAGAATCTAGTAGCCATTGCAGTTGAGTACATGCATTAGAACTTGAGATGGATGTGGTGGCACTGTTTGTGATCTCAGCACTTTAGAGGTTGAGGCATGAGGATTGCCATGAGTTCAAAGCCACATAAAGGATGGATATATCTATGGAAGTCGTCTCTTCAAATAAAGAGATTTTCAACCTCCATCCAGTTACAAAATCTGTCATTGTTCAGCTGAACTTGGGAGATACATTCCTGTCTTACTTTTTGTTTTGTAGGTGGAACCGACCCAAAATGTCTCTTGCCCAGAAGAAAGATCGGGTTGCTCAAAAGAAGGCAAGCTTCCTCAGAGCTCAGGAAAGGGCTGCTGAGAGCTAAAGCAATTTTCTATGAAGATTTTTTCATAAAGATAATAAACTTATTGACTAAGCAGCCATTTCTGTGTTGGTTAAGCTGTTATTATGAAACTGTAGGGGATAGCATGAAGGCATGAAAGCCAAGGAGTGGAGTTCAGATCCACCTGCCTTTGCTGGGATTAAGGGCAAGTAACACCACACCTGGCTGAGAATTTTTTTCCTCCCACAAAACAAGCTTAGTTTTTGGTTTTTTTTCCCCCAGAAAAATCCAGCAGAGCTCTTGGGTTTCTAGTCTTTCTGGAAGGAGTCACTATCTTTTAGCGTGTCAAATCTGGTAAGCAACAGACCCATGACAATTCAGTTGAATGACAATGAAGTTCACAGATTTAACCATTTGAGCCGAAAGGGTTGTGGCTTTTCTAGTTTTCATTTTACGCAGCTGTTGAAAGGTATGTGTCAGACCTGAATATACATAGGAAAATAAGTTGGAAGGGTCAAATACTAAACCTTGAATTTACAAGGGAAAGAACTAGGTGATACATTTATGCCACAAGAAGTAAAAATTGTCTTCCGTGATTTATACCAGTCTGGATTTATCTGTATATCAGCTGAGGTGGTTCAGGTTTTGATCATCTCTGGTCTCAAAATGTCAGGCTCTGCTTTGTGGAACTTGGGACTTCACAAAAAGTCACTGCATCCCCAGCCTAAGATGTCTGTTGGCTGGTGATTTCTAAGATGATACCATCAGATTTGATTTCAGTACAGTGGTAACTGCATGTTAACATGTGGAATACATGGTGAAGCTAAGTCACTCAAACCGTTTCCTACATCTGAAGTTAAACTGTGTAAGTATAATACAATAAACCATGCTATAAACCCAACCTTTTAATAAAAGGAGTCATTTTAATTTACCTGTGTGGCATTTTTAATTTGAGTTAAGGTGCAAACTCTTACCATGCTAAAACATTAGTAAATTCACATATAAATTTCCTTGTTTAGACAGCAGCTTCAATGCAAACGTGTCCAGCAATGGGATTTGCTAACATATCTACAGAGCACTCACTGTATGGAATGAGGCTTTTCACAGCATTAATTTTTTTAAGTCAGTCAAAATAGTTAACAGTGGATGTACTTGTGAACTTAGGAAGGGCAGGGATGAATTTTGGACAGCTCTTGGCCCTACACCTGCCATTACTGTCATTACACATTTAAGATGATGGCTTCATGGGCCCAGGGGACAGAAGCCATCCTGTAAATGTTCTTAAAATCATAAGTAGATTCTTAATGATGGCAATGCTGTCCAAATGAACTAAGAGTCATTTGTGTAGGAAATTTTCTTCCACAGTAATGTTTTTAGGTTATTTAATATCAACGAATGTTCCATTTCCATTTGGTTTGCTGTGACTTTGAGAGCAATACAAGAATAGAGTTGCTTTTCCAATTCTTCCCGGATTTCACTTGGAGCACCATGCAGTAAGTAGTCTTTGAGGAGCTGACAGGCTTTTGCCAAGTTTGGTTGTATGACTTCCGAAGTGCACTTCATGGTGCTCCGGTCACAGCTAGTTCTACAGTCTGTACCATAGACACAGTCTAGGTCAGACTCACAGTGGCGATCCTTAATAAGTTCCTTTAGGTTTGTTTCTGGCACAATTTTTCTCATATCCACCATCTTCAAGTCATACTTCTCATTATATCCTAGGTTTTTGGCACTAGTATCACACATGAGGAAGTTTCCATAGGGGCCATGGAAAACATCCTCCACAAATTCTAGAAGTCCTATGGCTATCTTGGCCTTTCTAGGCCATGACGGTGTGAACAACTGATCCATGCTCCTTCTGAACCCAGATGGAATAAGAAGTTCAATGACCCACGGAAGACTTATTCCGTAGAGAGAGGTATATTCAACACTTTCCATCACATAGAGATCACCACAGAATCCCATTAGTTTGGGGGTGTGTTCTTTATCTTGAAGTATTACCATCAGAAGAAACTCATTCAACTGGAGAAGTGCCCATGCTGACTTGGCTTCTCCTAAGGAGACCTGGCCATCTCTGTCTCCGTCAGCCACTGTCAGGATGAGGTTAACCAATTCAGAGAGGTTTCCTTGGTCACCTAATTTAGCCTGTCAAGATAAGGATTTGTTGAGTTATGCAGAAGGAATGAAAACTAGGAGGATCCTTATTTTAAGCTTGTGTAGTTGAGCAAGTAAGGTGGTGGTTTTTTTTTTTTTTTTTTTTTTTTTTAAGATTTATTTATTATGTATACAGCATGTATGACTGCAGGCCAGAAGAGGGCACCAGATCTCATTACAGATGGTTGTGAGCCACCATGTGGTTGCTGGGAATTGAACTCAGGACCTCTGGAAGATCAGTCAGTGCTCTTGACCTCTGAGCCATCTCTCCAGCCCTAGCAAGTAAGTCTTGAGTCTAAAAACGATGCTGAAACGTAGTTCTTCCTTGCCAGTCTAGAGTACTATGTGCAAGGGTCCTGAATTTAATCCCTAGTCCAAAACAAACCAAAGGCATCTATGTAAGAGTTCTTTCTTGTAGGTCATATCACCATGCTAGCAGTTCTCTTGCTATAGAACTAAAGAACGCCCTATATCTCCCAAATACTGAACATTATTACACATGTACATTGTGTGTGTATATGTGCACACAGGCAGTATGTGTATGAATTTGGTGTGGGGTGGTGGTGGTGGTGGAAGCTTGAGGACAACTTGTGGAAATCAATTTTCTTTCCACCCTGTGGGTTCTGGAGATTGAACTCAGGTTAACAGACTTGGTGGCAAGTGACTTTATTCTGAGTCATCTCCCTAGAATAAAATAGTAAATTCTAATTACCATTTTTTTTTTTAATTTATTTATTTATTATGTATACAGAAGAGGGCACCAGATCTCATTACAGATGGTTGTGAGCCACCATGTGGTTGCTGGGAATTGAACTCAGGACCTCTGGAAGTGCAGTCAGTGCTCTTAACCTCTGAGCCATCTCTCCAGCACCCCCAGTTTTGTTTTTGAAAATAAAACTTAAAAAGTTCTGAAACTAAGAAAAACCTAAACAGGTCTTCCTCCTTTCTTTTGAGATGGTCAAATGTAGGCCAACAGACTGAACTGACTCTCTTGCCTCTCCCTTCCAAGACCTGGGATTATAAGCATTCCCTAACATGGATTTCTTTAGACTTAAATAATAATTTCAAATCCAGTGTAATGGCACACACCTATAGTACTAGTTACTCAGAAGACTGAGGCAGGATTCCAATTCAAAGTGAGTTTCGTCAATTTAGTCTATTTCAAAATAAGTTTTTGTTGGGTTTTTTTTTGTTGTTGCTGCTGCTGTTGTTTTGTTTTTTTCGAGACGGTTTCTTGGTGTAGCTTTGGAGCCTGTCCTGGAACTCACGCTGTAGACCAGGCTGGCCTCGAACTCACAGAGATCCGCCTGGCTCTGCCTCCCGAGTGCTGGGATTAAAGGCATGCGCCACCACTGCCCAGCTTCAAAATAAGTTTTTAAAAAGATAAAAAGGAGCCGGGCGGTGGTGGCGCACGCCTTTAATCCCAGCACTCGGGAGGCAGAGCCAGGCGGATCTCTGTGAGTTCGAGGCCAGCCTGGGCTACCAAGTGAGTTCCAGGAAAGGCGCAAAGCTACAAAGAGAAACCCTGTCTCGAAAAACCAAAAAAAAAAAAAAAAAAAAAAGATAAAAAGGAAGGGCTAGGGATATAGTTTAGTGGTCCTTGGGTTCATTCCCTATATAAGAGGAAAGGACAGGATGGGAATCCAGGTATCTAGACTATTTTAATTTTATTTCACTTTTTTGGTATCAGATTTATTATTTATGCACATGGCCTCACACTGTAGCCCAGGCTGGGCTGGAACTTAACTATGTAGCCCAACAAAACTGGCCTCAAACTTGAGGCAACTCTCCATCCTCAGTCTCCTAAGTAGCTGAGATTACAGGTATAAGTCATTGTGCCTGGCTTTGGTTATCAGCTGAATGTCAAAATGTGCAGCAATCTAGTGTCCCTCAATTCTATTTATACCTATTATAAATATAAAGGTTAACATCTTCCAATTTTTTCCCCCTTTCTTTGGAATCATTTCTTCAGGATGGAGTCTCTAATGGAAGTAAAAGAATGTCAACAATACAATGACAGAAGACGGGCCTGTGGGTTCCTCTGTAAGAATGCAGCTTCACGCCGGGCGGTGGTGGCGCACGCCTTTAATCCCAGCACTCGGGAGGCAGAGCCAGGCGGATCGCTGTGAGTTCGAGGCCAGCCTGGGCTACCAAGTGAGTTCCAGGAAAGGCGCAAAGCTACACAGAGAAACCCTGTCTCGAAAAACCAAAAAAAAAAAAAAAGAATGCAGCTTCATGCTGGAGGTGTAGGACTAGATACACTCACCTTAAAGAGACTGTAGACCATTTCTTTGAATTTCTGTACAGTAGTTCCCCTGGTTGGTTTATCAAACAGCACTATTTCTTTTCTTGGCTCCAATTCAGTTCCAAAATCAAGATGAAGAGCTTGTTCCATTTGACATTTCACAACACCTGGTAGATTATCCCAAATTCCTAGATACATCTTTGTGAAAAAGAATGGCAAGTTAGTGTCATATGAGAGGAGACTGTACAAAGCATACAGCTGCATTTTTTTCAGGGCCCCCTTCTCTACAAAACATAAACAGGCATTAAACCACTCAGCTAGGTCGGTGACTATTTTTACCTTTTTGAGACTCTCACTGTGTAGCCCAGGCTGGCCTCAAACTCAAATCCTCTTGCCTTAATCTCCTGAATACTATGTGTACGACAGCATACCCAGCTCCTGACTTCATTTCTAAATGCAAATCTGAAGTATTCCCAAAGCCTTTTCTTTAAATGACTTAAAAGATGAACATAATACATACCTAAATACAGTTTTTGGAAAGTAGAATTAGAAGGATGTTAGACAAAAGTAAGGTCCACTATGTTCTATTTCTTTGGTCCCTAGTTTGGGAGGAGATTTTGTACTTTCGTGTAATGCACAAAAAATGTGCAGCTAAGATTTAGGGTCTCCCTAAGCTGTTTAGGCTGGTGGCAAATAATGGACATTAAGTGGGTATGTATCAAATTAACATTATATAGTATTTATTACATTTTATGCAAGGCTAAGTTCCCTAAATGGTGTGTTAAGCTTGGAGTAAAGTCAATTGCAATGGAAACTCAAAGAAGACATAAGGGAAGAACAAGGAATGTGTGCTAAGGGTCTTACAGGCAGCATAACAAGTGGTCTTCCACCAGTGACTCCAGGTAGGTGGGTCTGCTGGAGCCCTCAGGAGCCCTCATATCAGTGTGTCTGAATGCCAGATAAGAGCTGTAGGACTTAACCTTGATAATGTCCAATCTCTTCTTTCTGTCCCCTCATTCCTCCATTTGGGATGGGAATTTTTTGTTGTTGTTATTTTCTGTTGTTTTATTTTCCCTTTTAAGACAGGGATTCTCTGTGTAGCCCCGAATTTATTGGAACTCGCTCTGTGGACCAAGCTCAGAGATCCCCTGCCTTTGCTTCCCTAGTGCTGGGATTAAAGGCGTTCACCACCACACCCGACCTGTAGTTTGATTTTTGATACAGGGTTTCTCTTTATGTAGCTCTGGTTGTCCTGGAACATGCCACATAGTACTAGCAGCCTAATACTTTGAATTCGCAGCCTTGAACTCACGGAGATCTGCCTGCCTCTGCTTCCCATACGTTGGAATTAAAGGTGTGCTCTAACACACCTGGCATAGATGGGAATATTCACCCCCAGGACATTATACCCTTGGAGTTGAACATGATTTTAACAGAGGGCCCCTGAAGTTTTCACTAAAGCAGCTGAGGCTTTGGGACTCTGGCTATGGATGTCACTATAAGGTGGACAGAAGAGATCTGCCCTGGAGAGCTGA